ATAAAAGCTGATTGAAATACTTCATATTTTGCTCCTGTTTTCCTTTATTTCACAGATATAGATGCATTACATACCTTCATCAGCAGATCCTTCCAACTCGGAAACAGCTGTAAAAAGAAAAAGGCGAGCTGACAGTTAGTGGCAATACTTTTACATCCCTTGCAATACAGAGTTTAAAATTGATCAAAATCCAGAAAAAGATGATTGTGAATCATAAAAACATTTGGGTTATGTGTAGTGTATTACGTATATTTTCCCATCTGGTTTAATTTGAAGGAATCTTGTAAACTACAATTATACTGCACAGAGAGTAGTCTTTCTATTTTCAAATTTTTTATACATTTTTTCTTACATCTCATATGTGTGAACCCTTAGCACCTTCTTTTATGGCTGTATAACTCAAAAGTGAGAGTACATCTATTAATCTGCGCAGACAGTTCACATACATAGGTAGGTGAGGAAACATGCCGGAGCAGGAATGCATAGACCCTGATTAGATGAGTATCACCTGGAAGCGTCACAGAGATGAGAACATACCAGAAGCAGCTGGCAGCAGTAGCATCAGACACAGGAACAGCAATCGCATCATCTTCAAATGCTGTGGGGGGAACAGAAACCAAGTTAAAAATATCTGCTTTTAATATTCAGCCATTGATGTGTAGGAAATCTTGGTGTTTTGGTTTAAAGATAGGGTGAGACGGAAAGCAGGATTGCTGTCTGTTATTTGGGCTTGTGTGGCGCTTTGAGATTAAGGATCATATACTGCGAGTCAGTGGAAAACTACGATTTCAGAGCCAACAAGTCCTTGTATTGTTTTAACTGGATAGATTGTAATCTGAGGTGAGCGGTGGCAAAAGGTCAGATAATGACAGCCTTATTTCCCATAGTGCTCAGCAAAAAAACTGCTCTGAGAATTCTGTCCTAGTCAGCTGTCAACAAGTGCCTATCCAACATTTTCCCCTCCCTGTGCAAATCCTGGGTGCCACGCCAGGTGTTGAGCAACAATATAGTGTCCAATGACGTCCACTGAAAAAAGCAAAACAAATATATCATTTTGTTTATTTGATCCTGCTGAGAAATATTCTTGTGAATAGAAAAAAAAAATAACAAAGCCAATTACACTAGAAAATATATGTATCCATCAACTTCATCTCACCATAGAAACCAAGTGATGTAATTGTTTTTCTTGAGAAATCTTACAACTTCCTCATGGCACAGGGCCCAAAACCCGACCTCTGCTGCCCATTTAGCCAACATAGATGTGAAACGCAGATGTTCTTCATCCGCTAAACAAAGCCCCAGCTGTCTCCAACACAATATGAATGGTGATATTTTTAAATGGGAAAAAACATGGGAACGACCTCTCTTCCAGTCAAAGTCCTGGATGAAGCCTCGTTGGTCAGATTCTGCAATTGAGGTTGGCTTGGGATCAGGAACCAATAGTCATGCAATGTTTGATACCGTACAAACAAGGAACTCTCCCATTGACCTTTGTGCCAAAGGTTTTACTGTACTCTTCATTGTGAGCTATGCCCATTGTATCCTTGTTTCCTTCGCTGTTAATGACTGTGGAAAGAACTGAGGTGACCCGTATTGTTAGGTGCAGGGCTCTAAGGGGCAGTAGCAGCAGCAAACAGCGACCCGACACCCCCACAGTTACCGACATTCTGCTTCCTACTCATTCATACAATTTAAGGATGTGGATATCATTACCGAATGGCAATGTCAATTCTGGTTCCCATATTTGGTAAAGGGCAGTGAAGAAATAGGAATTGGCATAAAGACTGAGGACCTGTCGACATTAGTTTAATATTTAAATTCCTTTTTTTGACAGTTTTATGAAAGAGCAATGCAGCAGAACATTGGCCATAAACTATAAATGTGAAACTGTTGATGTGATACTTATATGCTAGACAAATGTCCACCCTGTAGGATCGCATGAGAACGAGGACATCCCAAAACAAGATTATCTTCATGCTAAATTAGCAGAACAGCATTAAGACTACATAGAAAAAAGATGTTAATCACACAAGTGAGGCTGATTGGAAAGAGAGTGCAGAGTGGGCTGTTCTGGCCTCCTGAATAGCTGCAGTAAATCTCCCAATGCAAACAACCTAAGAAGCTGCAAATAAAATCCCCTTCTGTATCCAATTTGCTTTTCAGAGTCGCTTTGGGTGAAATAATAAGCTGATCCAATTTGGAAATATGTATCAACTCAGTCCACTCCCTCTGTATCAAAACGGTGCGTGAAGCCTGTATTATTTTTCAAATTGGGTAATATATTCTTGTACATTTGAATGCAGATTGAATTTGCTCTTTAATACCAGACCCAATTTGCAAAATATAATAACCACTGGTTTGCTTATAAAGCAGACATACCAGTTGACTGCTGGCTAGAGATGCAAAGATGAAAGTTAGTAAATAGGATTCATAAAACTGTCTTGAGTGCAACGCTAAAAACATGCATACTGTACAGCGGCTAGCGGGAGAATTTGTCTTGTTTTGATCAATCATCCCTGATTCAGTTTTCAACTGACAGGATTAACCGTATGCCTCATACCTGTATGACCAGGCCAGCCCACAGAACCACTTAATCTTGTTTACCAGGTTTAATTTGGAATCATAAGTGCTCACCACTCCTTACAACCCACCCAGTACAACCTATATCAACAAAGTACACTCACAAGCAAAGCTTAAAGACATGTACATAAGCAGAACTACTTGCAGACACAGACTTATCTCTTCCTTATCTGCTCAAACTGAGCTCAACCACTGCGTATCGCTGACAAGACTTCACAGCGATAACAATCACTAACGAGCAAAGATGTAAGAATTACTGTGGCCTAGAGAGTTCCTGAGGAAACAAATGTGTAAAATAATAAGAGAGAAAGAAGACAGAAGATATCAGGAGACACTTTTTATTATTGTGAAGATGTGTCAACAATAAAACAGATGAGCCCAAAAACAAAGAAACGGCAGATGGAATAAGGGAAAACGTACCCAGATTGTTTGTTATTCATTGCCATTCCATTTTTATAAAAGAGGTAGCATACTCTGGATCAGTGAAGAGAGAAAATATTCTGATTGGACTGTTTACTCAGCTCTACAGAAGCTGTTTATCTTAGTGTGGTTGATGCATATTGTTTTCGATAACATAACATACTCTGGTATGCCACTGGACCACAAACAAAGTAACAGGGAAACACAAAAATGAAAGTAAAGCAAAACTCACAATACCTCCGTTGATGTCTGGCAAGCCAATGAACAATCCACCACAGTCTTACTACTCAGCAGTTATTTCCAATTCAAATGGTTTGTGATGTGTTGAGCATAAGGCCAATAAGGGTAACAGCCAACATCTAAAAGGATATGAGAGTGTCTGACAATGAAAGCAGTCGTGAGACACATATACTGTATTTGCACACATAGTGACATTTGTTCTCTGCTTTTTACCCATCCTAGTACTAGGAGCGTTGTTCCCCTCTCTCTCTCTCTCGCTCTCTCTCTCTCGTTCTCAATGCCTGTGTGCAAAGATACACAACCTGTGAACACACACCAAAGTGGACCGATATGACTCTAGGGGAACATCACAGTTTGGCATTTTCCACCTCAATCTTAACAGCAACAACCCAATTTAGTGCTAATAGGACTCTGGGCACGTAGAGCTCAGGTTTACTTTATCAGATTGAGATAAAGCGGGTTTTTCTATCTGTTTTGTTAACATCACTATCACAAGACATATCTGAGTCACATTGAGGTGTTTCAGATTCCAATGCATGTATGAAATGCATCCTCATCACTACTCTAGGAAAGAAGCAACACACAACATGCAAAAAATAAACTCTGCAAAGACGAGTTGTAAAGAGTTCAATTTGTTGCCCCTGCTTCACCTCTGACACTCCCTGGGCAAGCAGCTTGATTAACAATAGTAGAAAAACACTTTGTTATTTGTTTACTGACTAATAACAGGTCAATAAGTTCACTCTGAGCACACTGTGTGGCATGACAATATTTAAAACACAGGAAGTAAAAGATGGGTTGCTGCAGAGTAACACGACCTTCACCTACTGCTACCTGCTTCCTGCTTCCTCAAGGATGACGTTTATACATTGAATGGAAATCAAGTTACACAGTCTATAAATACATGAACTGTTGTTTAGAAATCCATGTGTTACACTGAGAATGATAGGATGCAGCAGGTAATAACACTAACGTTGTAATGTTGGTGAACTTTGTGATAAATGCTGAGAAAAAAAAGGAGGTATAAGCACGAAGAAGTTGACCTGCAAGCCACACACCAATGTGATAAAAGTCAATATTGCTGGTTGTATCTGTTACATTGCAAACAAGAATTGACAACAATTAAAATAATACAGATTGTATTGTAAAATGTGTTACGTTGCTCCGTTTAGAGAATATACGTTTCCAAACAATATTGAGTGACACTTCTTCAGCTCTGCACAACATTTGACACTCTCACCACAGCCGTTAGTCAGTCGAGGAGATGATCCGCACTGAACGGAGCCGGCTCGTTACCAGGAAGACTGGGTGCTGCTGTGTGAACTTCAGGGAAACTCTATTCTCACTTAGCCTACAAGGGGATTTACAGCCACCTCACAAAGCGCTGAACTGCCCCTTAAAGTTGTTGTTGCTTCTGCGGAAAAAACCTCGATGTGTCTGTATGAGAACTGCTGTCACGACAATTTCCTGAAAACGGCTGAGACACAGCTTAGATGTTGATGGGGCGCGATAACACTGAAGCAGTGACATGTGCCAAATAATTGAGTATTAAAAGCTACAAAAGATACCTAATAATTTAAATAATAAAACACAAAACAACGCATCAGCATGTTGCTATTTTATGATAATGCAGATCACCTGGCGGTTACAATTAGTCAAAAATAGTGACGTCAGCCCGTTTTCCTTGATTGGCTACAGGTGTGCTAACAGGCTATAACCACATTTCCCTCGTTGCTAGCAGTGTGGCGCTAGCTCATCCCTAATATTCGATTTGGGTTTTTCCTCCTTTAAAACGATTTGCTATAGTTGTTTAATTCATGTTAGAGTGTCTCATTTCTGTGTAGTAATGCCGTTTTTGCTGCTGCTCCAGGTGTGCCTGCTTGGACTTGGTAAGTGACATGACTGGGCTATTGTTTGTAGGTACACTCGTGTTTAAAATCGAGTCATCGTTTATTTGCACAATGGGTATAACGAGTTTTTTTCCCCCAGCATGTATGTGCTTTCTTCTCTCAGCTATGTTCATCTTTACTTGTATTACTTCTCTCAATAGTTGCAGCACCCTTGCTTTAGGTTATTCCTCTTACACCTGAAACACTCAAGTCTCAACACAGTTCTGCTGTCTACCCTTTCTTTGTCTAGTTTTGAGTGATGAGCTTGGTATGGCTATGTCTCTACCCTTGTAACAACAAAATATACTAATCCATGCATTGCTGAAGGGAATTATGGTTGATAATTGGTGTCTTGAGACATTTTCTGTAGTCTGATGTGATTTTATATTTTGAAATACATCATTGCTTGCAGTAAAGTAGCTAAATATGTTTACATTTGTACAATTTAGAGGAACTTGTACTTTATTTTCTGCTACGTTGTACTTTTACTCCACTATACAGTGTGTATGTAATACCTTTTTCAGTTACTAGTTAAGTGAGTATACAATAATTAAAACTAGTTGCACCTTTTTACCAGCTTTGCTATACACATTTTGGCATCAATAATTGTAATGAAAACTTATTATTATTCTGAAATGGGCCCATCTGCATAAAGACTACTTTTATGTAGGAGTTTTCCTACATCATGGTATTCCTACTTTTACATAATTAAAAGAGCTAAGTACTTCTTCCACCTCTGATTGCTTGTAACAAACAAAGGTGACACTACAACAATAATCTGACTCTTTTTTTTTGTCACAATGCTATTGCTATGAGTTTAAATATATGATAAAGTAATATTGATAACTGATATTTAAAATCTCAGTATCATTGGTTTAAATTATAACTGTACGCTTATCATTACTGACTCTAAAACGCAGAATAAACAACGTTTAAAACACATTTTGAAACGGCATTATTTTTCAATGTTGTCAAGATGTTGTTTTTGGACATTGTGATTGTGTAGGAAAAATATATCATGACAGACTTAAAAAGATCTCTTTAAGTTTAATGCTAACCTAAGACAACCCTTAAAACATTAACATAGTTTTGTTGGAATCCTAAGTAGTTTAATGCAAGTGACCTCATACATGTCTAGAAAAAGAATAATTGAACTTACGTTTTAATGAGCTGGTCAGTTTTCTCTCTTCACTGCTGATATGTTGTTTCTCAGACGCCAGGATCCTTGTTATCATGGAAACTGCCAGAGTGAGTGTGCACGTTAATACAGGTGTAACCAGTCAGGAAATGGGAACTATGTTCTTCATTGGCTGCTGATCTTGTTGAAATCTGACACCTCCAGTCTTATCTTGTAGAAAAAAATGGACTTACTGTGCAAACTTGCTCACAGCTCTTTATTGCGAGTGTGTTGTTTACTGTCATAAAATAACCAACTGCTGTCAGTAGACAATCTTTTGTTTGTAAATCTTCTTATAATACACTTTATGTGCACATTTTCAGGCAGTTGTAATGTTATTTGTGTGCATTTGTTTTGTATTGATTTAAATTAAATGGGGAAAACTATTTTATATTTTCCTCTGCAGGCCTGTCTGTTGCAAGTCCTGGGAGGAGGTTTCTGATTGGGCTACCCCCGCATAATGGACCAACAGGAAATAGCCATCAAGTAACTATCACAGCCAGTGGTGTTCGGAACTCTGTCACTGTAAAGGTCCTGGAAAGCAGCTTCGTGCAACGCATCTACCTCTCTGCTAACCAGTCAAAAAGGATTCACCTGCCATTGTCTGTGGGAATGACCAGTGACCGCTCGTCATCCCTCCTCAGTGTGAAGTCTATATGGCCTGTTACAGTCATCACTTCCCTGTGTACCCGGGCTGGCTGTGACCACAGGCTCCTTCATGATGTGTACTCCTGGGGTACCCAGTACTATCCCATTACTCCTATCTTCCCTAACCAGACTTCTCTCAGCCAGATGGTGATCACCAGCTCAGACCGGGCGACGTCAGTGGATATCTTTCTCTCGGGGGAAGTGTTTTATGAAGGCAATATGTACCAAAGGGGTAGTGTCCTTACGTTGTATATAGGGGTGCTGCAGAGTGTTTACCTCCAGAGCAACTCCAGCCTCTCTGGCTCAGAGTTAAACTCTCAAGAAGCTGTAGGTGTTGTGGTTGGTTTTACCTGCTCCAAACACACAACTGGCAATTGCTTTTCTGGATATGCTGACCTGAAACCAGTCACACACTGGGGTTTTGATTACATTATTCCTCCCTTGGTAAACACAGGAATGAGTTCTAGTTTCCTCTTGGCAATGTCTACTATGAACTCTGACCTCAGCATCAAGGCCAGCACCAATCAAAACACAGTGGCTCTCGTCGGTGGCGTTATGAAGGTCATCCCAGTTGCGACCTCAGATAAAATCCTCATTACTAGTGACAGTCCTCTACAACTACTTTTCTTCAGGCATGACCCTGCACAGCGGCCTTTAACTCTAACAGTACTGCCATCTGTTGATGATATCTGCCAGACTGTACCTATGTTTGATTCAGGTGATATGGGTGAGCAGCGAGTTAACAGTGCCGACACAGGAGATTTGAAGTCTGGTGTTAAATCCTTCCAGAAGCCCACCTTTCCTCAGCTGCCTGATAATGCAGAGGCTCTTTACACTGACAAGGATGTGGGATACTATCTGAGTACCTTAGACCGACATCTCTATTCTGCACTTTGTGAGAAAAGTATGTATAAAGGATTTTTTTGAATAGTGTAACACTATGTAAATATGTAATAACCTTCCTCTTTTCTTTTTTTTTAAAGCTGCAGCTTCTTGTGAAGAGTTGCACTGTGGTTTCAAACAGAATTGCTCTATCGAAGAAGGAAAACCACTCTGCTCTCTCAACACTAAAATATGCTCTGCGTGGGGTGACTCTTATTACCGCACGTTTGATGGAAGAGATTTTGTCCTACAGGGAAATTGCAACTACACTTTAGTTCAGACCACCTGTCCAGGCCTAAATGTTTCTGTTCCACTACAGATTAATATAGTCCGAGCATATTTAATAAGTGCCACTGTCCCAACCATCCACGCAGTGCAGATAAGCATCCAGGGCTTTAATATCTCCATAGTTAAAGAAGACACAAATCATGTTAGGGTAAGTGTACTTTACTTACTTTTATTAACAAACGTTTTGTAGCTGTTAAGTGGTCACTTACTTTGTCTGTTTTTGTATTTTTAAACCTGTAGGTTAATGGAAAGATGAGGAACCTGCCGCTCACCTTGGGAAATGGCTCCCTGAACTTTTATCAAAGTGGTTCCAGCGTTGTCTTAGACACTGACTTCGACTTGGCTCTGCGGTATGACTGGAAGCAGCATCTCCAAGTTGAAGTAGGCCCAGAGCTGTATGGAGCCCTGTGCGGTTTGTGTGGAAATGCTGATCACAGCTCCTCAGATAGTGTCATTGACTCTAATGGCACTATTAAGACCCTGACTGCAGATTTGACCCTCCCATGGGTAGTGAACAGTGGTGCAGGCTCCTGTATTGAAGATTGTGTTGGTGCCTCATGTCTAGTATGTACTAGAAGCCAAACTAAATTTCCTGACATAAAAGGTAACACCCTTCGTGTTGGGTGCTCCCTACTGAAGCGTAGCGGTGGACCGTTTGCAGATTGCCACTCATTGATTGATCCTGAGGCATTTTTTCGTGGTTGCACTAACAACTTGTGTCTCAATGAATCTGCCTCTTCTATGTGTGAGATCCTGACAGACTATGCCAACATCTGCCAGAGGATATCGGCCAGAGTCCGAAACTGGAGAACCATCTCCAAGTGCCGTGAGTTTAAGATATATATTTTTTAAGTCTATACATGGGTTAACTGAAAATGGCTAAGGGGTATTTCCTTTTTTTACAGCTATCGTATGTCCTTTGAACAGCCACTTTGAAATATGTGGTTCTGCATGCCCTGCTACCTGTGGAAACCCAGAAGCACATAGTAATTGCCCCCTGCCTTGTGTGGAATCATGCCAATGCAACAGAGGGTATCTGCTGAGTGGTGCGAAGTGCGTACCACATGGCAAGTGTGGATGTCTTCACCAAGGTTCCTACTACTACCCGAAGGAGAACTTCTGGATGGGCAAACACTGCCAGGAGAGATGTGTCTGCCAGTCGAGCTCCAAGAGAGTTGTGTGTTCTCCGCCTCAGTGCCAGGATGGAGAAGTGTGCAAGGTTGTGAACGGAGTCATGGGCTGTCACGCTGAGGGGCCTGGGCTGTGCATAGTAGATCCTCATTATACCACCTTTGACGGCCGTAACTTTGATGTGTATGGAAACTGTACTTACCTTCTCACTTCTCTCTGTCCGACCTGGGGGGGCATGGAAGCTTTCCGTGTAGAGATCCAGAACCAGATAAAAGATGCTACAAATATTGTGTCCTTTCGGCATCTTAAAATGGTAGTCTCTGGTTATTGGATTGAGATTTCAAATGATCCTAGTAACAGAGTTGAGGTAAGTTAATTTATTTTCCCTGGTGCATGTATACAAAACTAGTTGTTTTTATATTATCATTGATTTTAATCATTTTTTTTTATTTAGGTAAATGGTCTCCTGCTGCGTCTCCCATCTGTATTGAGCCGTGGCAAAGTGAAGCTTTACATGACTGGACAGACAAAGTTTATAGAAACTGACTTTGGTGTAGTTGTAATGTACAGCTCTGATATTCTGACCATCCAGATGCCAAGGAAATTCTCTGGTAATCTCTGCGGCCTGTGTGGGAACTTTAATTCTAATCCAGAAGATGATGTGATGCCGGATGACGACTCTGATATCTCTCAAGCCGTTAGACACTGGAAAACCAGCAGTGATCATGAGTGTGTGGATGTGCCTTTGAACACCTCGGGTTGCAATTCACAAGACATGGCTCTCTATGAGGGAAAAGGTTTCTGTGCAAGGTTACTGGATAAAGAGGGAGTGTTCAAGAGCTGCCACAAAATGGTTGATCCAGAAAGTTTCTACAACAACTGCGTTCAAGACTTCTGTTATAGTAACCAGACTTCCCTGTGTCAGATTCTGTCCAGCTATGTTGCTGTGTGTCAAGAAATGGGAGCTAAAGTGAATGAATGGAGGACTTCCACATTTTGTGGTAAGCAATCATGATATGCTTTAAATGTGTAGGCCTACTGAATATGAATATTTTGACTTTAATTGTCTTTTTCTCTTACTGTCCCTCCATAGGCCTCTCCTGTCCACCGAACAGTGAGTACAGCCTTTGTGCCAGTCAAATATCCGACTGTGTAGAAAACCCAAGTCCACTAGCGGGGAAATGCAAAGAGGGCTGTTTCTGCAAACCTGGGTATTTCCATAGTGGTGGGAAATGTGTACCAGACTCTGAGTGTGGATGTATTCACAATGATGTCTATTACGAAATCCATGAGAACTTCTACCCTGATGATCTCTGTCAGCTGCACTGTGGCTGTGTGGGCCACAAGAGAGTGCAATGTACCAATCACACATGTCCAAATGAAACAAAATGTGGCGTCCAAGATGGCCAGAGGGCATGTCATGCATTGCAGCCCTTTAAATGTGCAGTCATGGGTGGCAGACACTTCAGAAGCTATGATGGACAAAGCTTTGACTTTAATATTGGAAGCTGCCGTTATATTCTATCCCAGGTTTGTGAAGAGGAAGAGTCTGACCTCACAGTGATTATCCAGCGAGAAAAGCTGCACCTCAGGGTCCATGGGGTCAACGTGTCTTTTGAGATGGCGCAGCTGGGAAAAGTAAAGGTAAGCAGCTGCACATGTACAAACATAAGTAAACTGTTTAATTTGCCTAGATTGTAACTCTGACATTTACATTTTTCAGATTGATGGTGTTTTGAGAAGTCTTCCTGTCCTTCTGGATCACATGGCAATACTGCACTCTGGATTGCTCTCTCGTATTGTTGTAGACACAGGGGTTGTTGTCACATATGGAGCACCTGATCTGATACGTATAGTGATTCCAGCCTCCAGTAAACAAATGTGTGGCTTGTGTGGAAACATCAGTGCTGTTGTCACAACTGACAAGCGGCTCCCGAATGACAGCTTTGCAAGTGATGTTTCCATCTTTGCATCTTCCTGGTCACTTTCCCCACCTGGAACAAATTGCTCTAAAGAATGTGATCTTTGTTTGGAGTGCAACTCTACCATGGCAGCTGAATATGCATCTGCTAATTTCTGTGGCATGCTGCTTGCTCCTGCAGGATCATTTAGTAAATGTCACTCTGCTGTGGACCCAGAGCCCTTCTTTCAAAACTGTGTGAATGACTTGTGTTTGTCTAATGGGAAAGAAGAATTTGTTTGCAGTAGTTTGAGACATTATGCTTTATCATGCCAGGAGGCAGGAGCTGAGACCAAACCATGGAGGGGAGTGAAGTGCTGTGAGTATTATTAATGGACTCTGAGTGTACATGTGTTGTTTCATCAGTCAGTTATCATGTGCATGTAAATCATGTAGGTATGCACACATGCTTCTCTTGTACCTTTTTAGAACTCTGGCATACACAGTGAAGTTGCCAGATTGATGTAAGGCTAGCTGGACACTTTACAATATAGAAACTTTTGTTTGTTTGTCTTCACAGCACTCTTATGCCCTGAAAACTCACATTATAATATATGTGCCAGTGCATGCCCTGAGTCCTGTGGTATTTTATCTGATATCCCCTGCCCATGGGCCTGTTCTGAGGCCTGCCAATGTGATTTTGGATACATGCAGAGTGGAAATGGCTGTGTCAAAGCTGACAAATGTGGTTGCTTTCACCTTGGGCACTACTATGAGGTGAGTAGCTACACATTAATCTTACTGTACAACAACATTTTCCTTTACCCAAGCAATTCATTTAAAATCGTTTTAAATTTCATTTAAAATGTAAATTCACTGACCAATTAGTTTGACTTCTAATAAACCTATTGGTGTTTTGCAAATGTACATGTGACTCTTCTGCAGGTGCAGTTATGAACATGTTTCCACAGTTGAGCTCAATAACATGGCATGCCCTAGTATTTCCATGCAATGTTACCATGACTCATTATGTCTCCCTGTGCTCTTGGCATGACTAATCACAAACAATAGACATGTTGTGTTTTCCTGGGTTGTTTGTGTGCTGTGTTTAAGACTGCAGTTGGCTAACACAACAATGACTCACTTTTCTCTGTAGATTGGGGAGATTTCATGGGGTGAGGGATGCTCTGAACAGTGCAACTGCTCTGCTGCTGCATACATGTACTGTGAGCCGGCCTCATGCCCCAAGGGAGAGAGCTGCACCCTTCTTAATACCTGGGGCTGTGCAAAGACAGGTATGCCCAGCTGGTTTAGCTGGGATTGGTGACATGTCCTCACTGGCTAACTGTTGTTTTTCTCAGCTGCACAATGTGACACTATTGGTCTAGCAATATCGCATTTTATATCGTATTACTAAAAGTCGGTTAAACCCTAAACATTTTCAATAGTCCATTAAGTACTTATATTAATTCTCCTCTTGACAATGATTATAATGCATGCCAATCATAAGTAATACTGCATCCTTCTTTCACTGGTTTACCTAACAAGCCTATGACATGCAATTACAATGTGATGTATCACAAATGATCTGATGGCATCATGGGCAATTTTATTTATTTTTTAACTTGTGGAATATTTTTCATTTAATTCAAAACTCAGATGACACATAGCTGCATGTGTCTTGAACCTAAACTGCCATTAATCTGCTTTTTCTTACCATGAAGCAATAACTTTTTTATAGTAATCTCAAAGCTACACAAGTGATTTTCTCACAATTTTCATAATTCTCCTTCTTTTCTATCAGCCATTTCCTGCACACGGAATAGCCATTATACTTCCTGTGGCTCATCCTGCCCTGCCACCTGTGAGGATCCCTTCAGATCAAGACCCTGCACCCTAGCTTGTGTGGAGACCTGCCAGTGTGATCCAGGGTTCGTCCTGGTTGCTGACAGCTGTGTGCCCTTGTCCCAGTGTGGCTGCACTCACAATGGCTCACATTACCGCAGCAACCAGACCTTCTGGGCTGATGAGGGATGCACTGAACTGTGTGTTTGTGACCCCAACATGCACCAGACACAGTGCCATTTGGATTCTTGTGGCCTGAATGAATACTGTAGTCTTCAATATGGAGTGAGAGGCTGCATGCCTCATGCCCTCCAGACATGCATGTACTCTGCTCATCACATAGTCACCTTTGACCAGCATAACTATGATTTGAATGGCAGTTGTCAGTACCAGTTACTGGGCATGTGTGCAGAAAAACAAGGCCTCAGTGCCATTCAGATTCATGCACAGACAGATGGACACCTAGAGTCAGCTCTTCATCTCCAGGTCAATGTGAGTGGTGTGCTTGTGGAGCTGAACAGCAAAAACACCAAGAGCATAGAGGTGAGTTCAAGTGTTTTTTTTCTTTTTTTAGTAATCATGTCAGTCTCTTTTTGGCTCTAATGTTTAAAAAATGAATTGTCTAATAATTAAACAAGACTTTACAAAGATTACCTGTGAAAGTGTACTGCCCAGTCCTAACTTTCAAATGCAATGTTGGCCCCCCCTACAGGTTGATGGTGTCAAGAGGAACATGCCATATCGATTCAGCTCTACTGCACTGGCCTTCTTTTTAGGGCTGCACACTTACATCTACACAGAAATGGGCTTTGAACTGAGTCTCAGCATAGAAGGCATCGTCAGCATTAGTCTCTCTAGTAAATATGCTAATGTGACTTGCGGCCTGTGTGGCAACTTCAACTCTGATCCTGCTGATGACCTCGCAGTAAATGGCACACAGGAGCCTCTCATTCCCGAGCACTTCGGGAAAGCTTGGAGAAGTGGGCAGACTCCTTGGTGTGTGGAGGGCTTTCTAGGAGGAAGTTGTCCAAAATGTTCATCAGAGCTTCTGGTTCGCTTCTCTGACCCGGAGTCTTGTGGGAAGATTCTGGAAGTTAATGGACCATTCAGACAGTGTCATGGCAAAGTGGACCCATCCAGCTACTACAAGCGCTGTGTCAGTGACCTGTGTCTTCACGGAGGTCTCCAGCCTGCACTCTGTCACTCCCTAGCTGAGTATGCTGCTGTCTGTCTTTCCCACAATGCTGCAGTTTCTGCCTGGAGGAGTCCTGGATTCTGCTGTGAGTATCATTGTGTTCCCAGATGTGAAAGTGAATTAAATTAATATACTCTGCAATTGTGAGCTTTTTAAAGTTCAGCATGATTGCACAGCAAATTAAATATGGAGTTTGCATTGTTTGAACCGGCAGCATAAGAACGTGAATATTTTCATAAAAATCAGATGTAATCATGTTGCTAGCTTGTTTAGTTTTGTTGGTACAAAGAATTAGTGTTTTTTGACTCATATTGGTATTGAGGCCACAACCTTCCCGGTATTACTGGACCACTAGATGGTACTAATGCATCATTGGTCAACCCTAACCTAACACTGTTTTCCTATCCTGAGTGACTGCTGTCTTTTCTGTATCTCTACAGACCCGTCGTGTCCCACAAGAACTAGCTACAACATAAGTTCTGCCTCTGTTCACCTCTGCCTCGGCTGGCAGAATAAAACGGTAGAGATGCCTCTAAACATGGCGGAGAACTGCCTGTGTGAGGCCGGTTTTGTTCACAGTGGCAACCTTTGTGTCACTCCACAAAACTGTGGCTGCTTTCACCATGGAGAATACTTCACCGCAGGACAGGAGTGGTCTACATGCAAGCAAAGCTGTTTATGTCACCCCGGGGGAAACATGACATGTCGTAATGTCTCCTGTGGAGAGGATGAGGAGTGTAAGCTTATTAGGGGTGTTCAAGGTTGCCACCCAAAACCCCATGTAGCACAGTGCTCTGTTGAGGGATACCAATACACCACGTTTGATGGACATGCATTTGAATTTCATGGTTCATGTAACTACACCCTTGTGCAGACATGCCTCGATAAACTGGATGTAGAGCCTATTTTGATAGCTGCAATGGGCGACTATAGTGAGGGAAGGCAGCTATACTTGCAAGTCAATAAAATGCAACTAAGGATGTCAGCGGCCTTTCCTGGAAAAGTTGAGGTAATGATTTCACAGCCTTCAACATGATTTATTGTCGTCTCTTATGCACTTCAAAGTAATTTTTCACATAACACAAACTACTGTAAGATATGTTTTTCACAAGTCAATTATTTCACCCAGGTAAATGGAGTTTACGAAAACCTGCCGTTCTTCCAGAGCAACATCACTGTACATCAGAGAAATGGAGGGATAACCATCAAGACCCCACAGTCGGTTGAGCTTACATCAGACCTACAAAACTACATTCTGGTCAAGATGCCTGACATTTACTACCAGACAACCTGTGGCCTTTGCGGGAAGTACAATGACGATCCCTCTGATGATCTGCAGCTACCTAATGGCACAGTGACCTCTGACCATGACATCTTTGGGCTGGCATGGAAGTTGTGTAATGCAGACGTACCCTGCAGTGAAGAATGGGAAAGTTCCTCTGACCTGAACTGCGGGTTTATCCCCAATCCAATGGGACCATTCTCCTCATGTCACCAGTTGGTGTGCCCACAGAAATACTACTCCCTATGTGTTGCAGAAGGTCGACGCCGGGGCTTGTGTGATGTGCTGCAGGATAATGCAGCATGTAATGAGGCAGAGGGGAGGGTTGAGCTCTGGCTGAACACGACAAACTGTGGTAAGTATTGGGACACTGTTGAATTAATAACTTATCAAATGATTGAATGGAAGAAAATGTACTGATTTTAAGTCTTTTTGTTTTACAGCTTATCAATGTCCTCAGTACAGCCACTACAGCAACTGTACCAATATATGCTCCTCACAGTGTCCTGAGATCAGCCTGGCAGTGCTGTGCCCCAGAGACTGTGAGGAAGGTTGCCAGTGTGATACTGGACACCTTTATGATGGCCGTGCCTGTGTACCAGCAGAGCAGTGTGGCTGCCTACAGGATGGGAGTAGGTTTAAGGTCAGAACTAAACACTTTTTTAATAAGGCTATTTTCTGTTTGAAATATTTTTAATTTATAAAATATGTGCACACTCCAAATTTGTTTGACTTTTTTCATGTGATTTCCATTTTCAGGCCTCTGAGAGCAAACTGCTACAAAACTGTACTTTAAAATGCACCTGCGGGCCTCCTCTTGTCTGCGAGCAATACACATGTCCTGCACTGCACAGTTGTCAAGTTTCAGATGGAATTGAAGGTTGTCACAAAAATGGTGAGAATTTAAATTCACGAACCATACATTAGATACAGATTTGCTTGATGATGCATTTATACATTTTCATACTGTCAAATCTTTTACATTTTTCTTTTCTTTTTGCAGAGCAAAACCCAGCTTCATGCGAGGGAAAATGTGATGCAACTGAGAAATGTTACCTGAGCAACGGTGTGCCCCTCTGTGAGAGTCGTCGGGGTCTGTGCTGGACCTGGGGAGGCCGGCACTACCAAACGTTTGATGGGCTAATCTATGACTTTGAGGGTACCTGTACCTATCTGCTTGCAGCCAGCAAAGGAGCAGCATGCGGGCTGACGCCCTTTAGTGTTTCCAAGAAAGACTGTAGTGGCATCATTCTACATGCTTATGGGTTCATCATCAAGCTTGGCAGTCAAAAGGGCATCATACATGTAAGTAAATCTTAGCTATTTATTGAATGAAAGCTGCTCAAGTTTGACTTTTAACACTTATACGGCTCCCCTTTTCTTTTTTACAGGTTAATGGTCAAGTGACTTATAGTCCTGTTAATATTTTAGGGGGTAAGATTCAATTGTCCTACTTGGAAGGCAAAGCCCTGCTGACAACTGACTTTGGTTTGCATTTAGTCTTTGATGGATACTCTACTGTTGTTAAACTGGAACCTCACTACAAGGGTGAAGTATATGGGCTGTGTGGCAATTTTAACGGTCAGCCTCAAGATGAATATCCTGATTCCGTTACCAATAAGAAAAGTGTGGATTTTGCACAGGCTTACCAGCTCTTTGATGGTGACCAAAAGTGTTGTACTGGCTGCAAGCAGAAAGTGAACCATGAGAAGTTGCTTGCAGATTGTGTTTTTGATGACGTCTGGAGCCCATGTGAAGTGCTCACAGATCAGACTGGTCCATTTGCCCACTGTCACAGTCGAGCCAATCCAGATTCCTTCTACAAAAGTTGTGTAGTTGACCACGTGCAAAAAGGACGGTCAGACGTTTCTCTTGAGCATGCAATATATTCATATTCCTTAGTCTGTGAAGCAACCAGAAAATACTACAACGATGGAGTCGTAGTTGGTAAGTAGTCGTTCTTAAAGTAATATAATAATATTGTGATTTAATCTTTGACTGACACTTCAATACATTATTTCAGATGTGCTCTGTCCACCAAACACTCACTACAAGACCTGTGGCTCGGCCTGCCCTCCATCCTGTGAATTTAATGCCACCTTCTGTAACAAGGCCTGCTTTCAGGGCTGCTTCTGTAACCCTGGTTTCATTAAAAGTCAAATTGGCTGTGTGCGCCCACATCAGTGTGGCTGCACAGACTCCAGAGGCAAATATCAAAACCTTAACTCAACGTTTTGGTCACCAGACGACTGTGGTCAGATCTGCATATGTGGACCGGCTACTGGTGAGATGCACTGTCGCCCAGCCCAGTGCCCCAAAGGAATGGTCTGCAAGCAACTACAGCACAAGAGGCTGTGTCAACCTGATGACCCCAAGAACTGTACCCTTATTACTGGGCTGCATTTTACAACCTTTGATGGACGTCATTTTGACTTTAGAGACAGCTGTTCATATTTGTTGGTTAAAACCAAAGCCAACCTAACTGGAGTAACACCATTCAATATCACTATCTCTGATGCAAGTTGCCACAAAAGACTTTTTCATAGCCTTGATTTAACACTCTTAATGTATGGCCTGGAGTTGGTGGTGAGAAAAGATGAGCCAGGAAAGGTTATGGTGAGTGCTTTGCAATGTCTTATCAACACAATCTTCAGAATGAACCACTCTAATTTGTGTTTACTTTTCATTCTCAGGTTGATGGACAGTATAAGGCCTTGCCATACTCTCACCTGACAGGCCATGTTTATGCTTACCGCACACCTTCGTCTATCATTATTCACACTGATGTGGGATTGCAGCTGATTGTCTACAATACTGGCACGCTAAGGGTTAACCTTCCCAGCAGTTATGGCTCTTCTGTCTCTGGTCTTTGTGGAAATGCCAACACTGACACTCATGATGACCTAATGATGCCCAATGAAGAGCTTGCACAAAATCGACTTGAGTTTGCGCACAGCTGGATATCTCCGGGATCAGATGCCTGCAAGTCCAGCTGTTCCTCCACACTGAAGCATTGTCCTGCTGAGGCACAGAAGCTGTTTGAAGGAAGCGATTTATGTGGGGTGTTGTTAAATGAGCTAGGGCCATTTGCAGACTGTGCTCTGGTGTTAAGTCCAAAGCTTTACTTCCACAACTGTGTAACAGATTCCTGCTCATTTGACGGACACTACTCGGCACTCTGCAAATCCATTGCATCTTATGCTGATGCCTGTCAAGTAGCGCAGCTGCCAGTCAGGCAGTGGAGGAGTGACATTTTCTGTGGTGAGTATCATTCATTTGGTTTTTAATGATAGACTTTTATTTTAACTACATCTTCAGGTGTTTTATAAACATTTTATACTTGGCAGCTTTTGCTGCTGAAGCCTGGAATATAACAAAACACGCACACACCAGAAGTGAATAACACATTGACATGTATACTGTACAGCTCATTTAGGGCCCTGTGTAGTTTGACACAAGTGATTATGGCAAAACGTTTGACTGATTTTGACTCCACCATTACTATTGTCTAATGCAGGGGTTCCCAAAGTGGGGGTCGCGAGATGATTACAAAATAATAGAAAATTATAAAAAAAAAAAAAATTTTTTTTTTTTTTGTATTATTATTAACGTTTGCATAGACATTTTCAGGGGCGGACTAGCCATCTGTAGAATTTCCCCACAACAAGGCTCCCCCTTTGACAATCCACTACCGCAGAGAGTGCTGAAAACTGAAATTAATTCACTAGCACCCCTGGTCTAATGGAAGATCCACCGCAATTATTTTCTGATAAGGCTTTTGTCTATCCCACATGTAAACATTTGCACTGCATTACATTTAGCCTGGCTGGCTAAACACACTGACTGTGTTGATTATTATTGCACAGGGGGTAGGGATTTTGTGTGGGCTAATGTTAAAAAATAAAATTGAAGTAAGATGTATTTACTCTCTCCCCCAGGTATGGCATGCCCCAAGAATAGCCACTATGAGCTGTGTGGACCTCGGTGTCCTGTTGTGTGCCTCGGACTCTCCTCCCCAGCAAACTGCAGTGGCGGTTGTGAGGAAGGCTGCCAGTGTGACCCTGGCTTCGTCACGAGTGATGGCCAGTGTGTGCCGGTTTCTGACTGTGGCTGTGTGCACGAGGGACAGTATCGCCCTACTGGCCACTTTATTTCTGAGAAAAGCTGCCAAAAGTGTGTCTGCCAAAGAGGTGTGGTGACATGTAGCTCCATGGAAAGCTGTTCAGTAAAGGACGGCCTTGCCTTGAAGTATGGGGTGTGCCAAGTGTTTGCTGGCTTTGGCTACATCACTTTTGATGGTGTTATTCTGCCCCACCACGGAGCTTGCACCTATGTCGTATCTGCCCTCTCCTCTAAAGCCTTGCATGATTATTCTCTGCTTCTTGGCTTTAAGGACAACAAGGGCATTTTCACCATTAGCAAAATAGTATTTAATTTGCCATCATTGAAAGTATCTATTGACCCTGAATCTCTTTGGAAAGTAAAAGTAAGTTCTGTAAACTATACATTTGTTAAAGAGAAAAAAAATCTCTGCAGCCTTAACTGGTGTCTGTGCTTTCAGGTAAACGGAGAAGAACGCAGAGTGCCTTTTGACATTGGTGAACTTAAAGCCTACCAAGATGGCAACAGACTGATTATCATCACACCGTCCGGGGTGGGGATTGACTTGTCATCTACCCAATACCTCAGGTTAACTGTACCTCAAGTAAATGACGCCACAGCTTCAGGCCTCTGTGGGAACTTCAATGGAGACAAGTATGATGACTTGGAACTGAGAAATGGCAGTCTGTCGGAGAGCTTCGCAGAGCTCCTGCACAGCTGGGCCGCTCCAGGGCAGCTCTGCACAGACACCTGTGGCAGAGAGTGCGATGAGTGCAGACTGTCCCCACGTGACACCATGGTCTGCGATTTCCTGTTTATCAATACAACTGGATTCCACCAGTGCCGGGACGCTGATGTGGAGCACGATAGTTACACACTTATGTGCAACAGGGCAGTTTGTGCTTTAGCAGGGCACATGGCCACATGTCTAGCACTAGAAGCATATTCTGCAGCCTGCCAGGCTAACGGAGTAGCAGTAGGAACTTGGAGAGTGGACACTCCTTGCGGTAATTTAATACTTTTGATTGGCATTAAATGGAGTATGTGATCCACTCTAAATGACTTCTTTTTTTTTTGTCATTAGCTCTCCAGTGTCCTGACGGCAGCAGCTCAAAGGAGTGTGTTGACTCCAGCTCCAACTCGTGCCCTGCTGTGCTCCAACCTGGTTCTTCAGCAACGGGCTGTTCAGAAGGCTGTGAATGCGACAATGGAAATGTCTTTGATGGGGAAGAGTGTGTGCCTTACATCCAGTGTGGATGTGTTCATCATGGTGTATATATCAAGGTAACTATAAAAGCTTATAACACACAGTAATCGGTTCATAAGGAATATTTCAGCAACTGCGGGTTTTGTTTTCTCTTCTCCTCTTAGATGGAGGAGCAAGTGTACAACGAGGACTGCACCCAGAGATGCTGGTGCCACCCTTCGGGAGGAGTGATATGTGAGGAGGCAGGCTGCAGTCTGGGGCAGCAATGTGCTCTGAGGAACAGTTTCTGGGGCTGTCATGACAGACCTGAAGGTTGTGAGCTCACGGGCAGCCTCCAAGTCTCCACCCTCGGTGGGCAGCAGCTGAGCTTGGAGCCTCTGTCTTCTTACAGTCTGATGTCTCTCTGTGACAAAGCCAGTGTGCACTGGTTCAGCCTGATCTCTTACCATGGGCCTTGTGATGGCAGCTCCAGACTTGTCAATGTGTTTCAAATCCTCCTGCATGGAACATCATTTACCATACAGGAAGGCAGAGTGAAGGTATAACTCCATTAAGTGCTTTCATGTTTATCATTTTTAAGATCTCTGTCCTAACTCTCTGTTACACCCCACAGGTGAATGGACGTTTCATGAGCCTCCCTCACATCTTGCCATCAGGGGTGTCCCTGTCATCTGGAGTGAACCAGGACAAGTCGGAGGTTCTAGTGATCCTAAGAAGAGACGCTGGGATGGAGTCAGAGCTTGAGATAGAGATTGGTGTTACCATGGTGACAGTCAAGGTCCCTCTCTGGTACTCAGGCAAATTGTGTGGTCTCTGTGGAAACCTTAATGACCTGCACTCACACACTTCAGTCGGGTCATGGGTTCTACCTGACTTTCCTAGCTGGTAAATGATGAACTCCACAAAAACATGTGTATTTACTAATGTAGAATATGTTTTAATAACTATTTTTCTCTTTTTACAGTGGCTTCCCTGGATGATGACTGACAGTTTAAATGTCCTGACCTGTATTTTGTTGAATGTTTTAATACAAAAAAAATTACCAAAACTGCTATGTAGTGTGTTATTTAAACTTTGAAGGAAGACGTGCCCTTCTCATACATTTTTATGCAATATTGGCACAACCTTTATCAGAAAGGCCAGTGCACCTTTTTTTTAAATGTAATCTCTGGCCAATGTTGATTAGCTTGAGGGCACACCTTATCTAAATCCCTAGTATGTACAGTAACTAAACCAGGCTTACTGATGCCCTACCAAAGTGCTTCTGACCACATGAGCAAATATTTGAGATTACTTTTTATTTTATTTAATCTAAAGCAAACTTTTGAGGGACACATATTTACTTTCTATCACTTATGATTGCAAACCCTTTTTCTATGTGCTGTTCTTCAGTGACGCACAAAACAAAAAAACCACCCATTAAGCTCATCTACTGCCACTCTGCAAAATATTTGTTTATTTAGATTTGATTGATCAGTTCCATGGGATTATCCGGCCATTTTCCAAGCATTACAAGGGACATGTCTTTGTTTACAAGCATCAAATGGCTTAACGACACAATGTAAACACAGGCAGAAATGGTTTAATGTGCATTGTGAAGTCCTTGTAAGCTATCAATGTGATGCACAGTAGCTGGTATGATCAGTTTCCCCAAACTGATAAAACATGACATACACATTTTGGTACTTGGCTTGTAGAAGAGCATTACAACATCAAGTGAACATTGAGGAAATGGATACATCACTTTAACCTTTTTACATGAAACATTTGCTAAAGAGTAATTTTATCACAGTGGATTTTCTGTTTCCTCAACTGCGGATTTACTAGAAGAAACCTGTGTTGGAAAATGCGTATATTCTATGATGTTACAGCAATATGATAGAAATAGTGCTGGATGTTGGCTCAAACTCTGTGGAAATATGATTTGGGATCATCACATTATTGCCTTGCCCACTTAAAATTAATTTTTTGGTTAGACCAGAAGATGCAATACAGATGGTGTTGCACATCAAATGGCATTGGAATGTCCTGCAGATTAAAGCATTTAAATAAACTATAATATACTTTAATTACGGCATGCTCAATCTTAAAATCCATTTACTTAAGGATGGGAAAATACATCATAGAGGAGGTTGATTTTGTTCTCCGTAATAAATATTTGGTATGTCTAATACTTCTACAGATATACATTTAAATAAATCATGCAGGGGTTCTTGTCAGATTCCTGAAAAGAAGTGCCTGTCAGGTTGTAACAATAGAGAAAGATTAATGATGCGTCTCATACATGAAGTTGGCATTAAACCTCACACCTATGTCAATATATAGCAGGACGTGCAGGTCTGTGCCAAGTTCTGCCTTAATTTGTTCTGGAGGAAGGGTATTGTTTTTCCAAGATGTAGCGGTTGAGCTTCAAGATATTTGATTGGTTGGATTTGTGTCTGACAGTATATAAAAAGAGGGAACAGTAAAAAACAAAATGTTCATACATGCTGCAGCAGGTAAGCACGCCATAGAGATTATTTGCATTGGCTTTTTGTTGAAAATAATATATTGTATATTTTTAAAACATTTGAAATGCTTGCAACAAATGTGCATTTCTGTCTTTCAGTCATGGGCACCCTGTTGCTGCTCTGTGCTTTGGGAGCTTTCCTCAGCTGTAAGTCACTCTGATCTTTGTTACTTTTTCTAACTGTTGCAGGACCCACTTGAAAATGATTTTCATTTCAATCTGATGTATATGTGCATGTCTTATTAGTCATGATTTTAAAGTGTTAAGCTGAACAAACATTGAAGCGATGTACATTTTAAAACTCATTACAAATATTTCTTTATTCTAATCAAAAATCCTGCACGACTTCAACTATGAAATCTGACTAAACGCAGCTTAGCTGAATGAATCAATCACACCAGCATTTCTCGAACCTCGGTGCTGAATTCCCCAGCAGGACGTTGTAGCCAAGTGATCGCTCAATTTGAAGCAATTCCAGGTTGTCAACCCCATCAGTTGAGAGCATTGTTGTGTGGCCATACCAGGTGCTTGTGTGAATGAAGCAGAATGTTAAACAGGTGAAGAATTCGAAAGAGCGGCAAATAAAGGATAGCCATCTAAATTGAAATTTGCTTTTGTTGGGAATAGCATTTACCTTCAGCTGCTATTGAGTTGGAACTATTATACTGAATGGGTGAAACAGGAGTGTAATCTAAATCCCCCAGGCCCTGGCTGAGCCCAGAACATTTTCTTTTCACAGCAAAGGCACAGATTTTGATAATATTTCCATCATGCAATTATATTGTCTGCGCAAGTGACTTATTGAGTGCGGCTGAGAAGCAGTTAAGTGACTATTCCTCAGTCTGAATATCTCACAATGGTTATCAAGGAAAAAAGCAATCCATCCATTATAGAATAGCAGTCATTCCTGCTTTTTTAACTTTGAAATGAAGGTGTTTTTCAGACACTTTCTCTCTGGTGTCATAGTGTTTCTTTGTACTGTGTATGCGATCTCAAACAAAGTTTTGTATTGCCAGTCTGTGAATCCTTTGATTGCCTTGACACAAATAGTCTCATTCATGTCCTAATGCTTCTTTGACATGTTTTCTTCACATGCGAGATCTGTGAAGGCAGTTTTGTACCTGACTACTTCATTTTAGGTTACGTGAAAATAAGTCGTCTTTTGACGTGTTTTTTAAGTTTGCTTCCCTGCTCTTCTCTCTTCTCTCAGGTCCCTCTAATGCTGGAGGGGCAGGGAGGGAGTTTGCCCTGTCATTCATGCTGAATTATGCTCCCAACTATGACAGTTCCCATTATCAGCTATACATCACTGCCGTTCAGGCCAATGCTAAAGTGACAGTGAAAGTGCCTCCCTTAAACTTCAAGCAAGAGAAAACTCTAAATGCCGGAGAAAGGGTGACCATCAGTCTCCCTACTGGTGTGGAGATGTACGGCAGCAAGAGGTCTCCCAACACAGTGCGCATAGAAGCCTCAGCAGATGTATCTGTAACCTCATTTAACTCCAAGCAGTACACAGCAGACACCTCTGTTGTATATCCCACCACTGAATGGGGTACTGAATATTTCATCTTTACACCTGCTTCGTCCTCCTATGGCTCCTATAAAGAGTTCTCTGTGACAAATGGAAAAGAGAGCAATAAGTTGGAGATTTTCCCACGCGGCACCATCGGGTTCGAAGGTCGTGTCTATGGGAGTGGCAGCCGAATGGTGATAGATCTCCAGCCGTATGAGAGCGTGCAGCTCCAGAGTGTCTATGAACTTTCTGGTACCAGAGTTGCCTCCCAGCACCCTGTTGCTGTTGTCACGGGTCACACTTGCACATGGCGCTTTGCCAAATGTAACCATGTTTATGAGCAGCTCCTGCCAGTTAGCAGATGGGGATCAAGCTTCATTGTGCCTCCCCTGACCTTCCAGAGCAAATTTGACAGCGTCTTCCTCCAGGCCTCGCAGCCCACCCAAGCCACTGTCCACCACGGAAACGATACAAAAGTTTTTACTTTGGTCAGGGGGCAAACAGTAGAGATCCACTCCTCCAATCCTGAAACCCTGTCCATTCAGGCCGATCATGGGATCCAAGTCCTCATGCTCTTCAACGGGGTCACACAGAACTGGCTCCATTACTACGACCCTTTCCTGATGACCATCTTGTCCGACGACCGCTTCTGCTCCTCTTACTCACTCGAGGCTCTAGAGGGCTTTGAAAACAAAGCCCTGATAGTTGCACGGACCAGTGCGATGTCAGAGCTGCGTATTGATGGTAAAAACCTGCCACGTAATGTCGAGTGGAAGAAGGTTACAGGGACAGATTTCTCTTGGGCGGAGATGTCCTACCAGCAAAACCCCGGCAACAATAAACACACTGTGTCCAGCTCTGGTTCCCGCTTTGCTCTCTATAGTATAGGAGTCAGCCAGATGAATGGTTATGGTGCCCAAGGACAATGTATACAGCCAGGTAAGGTGAACATACTATATAGCAGGGGTTCCCAACCTTTTTCCCCGAGAGCCCCCCCAAATTACACCTGTTGGAAGTTGCGTGCCCCC